GTTAGCAGGATATTTAAAGTTTGACATATATTTTTCTTAATGTACTTATGGTATTATTATATGCTACTCTCAATAACCCCCTTCGATTTTGTCTTGATAACTACAATTCAATCCTGTTTATCCCACACTCTATTTGGATTACTAGCAAAGTAAATTTGACTTTACTAGCTAGCAATGAGAAAAGGGTCATATTTTATATATAATTTTTCATATTTTATCTCAGGACATCATAAATGATCAGTCAATGGTTTAATGGTAGAGGTCCGATTGTAGTATGATTATTGTCGTTTAGTAATGATACTTAGGTGGAGCTCTAAAATTCTTCAATACTCTTAGCTCTCTTAAATCTCAAGTTAGGTTTAAACTTGCCTTCATATAGATAGCGGGTGATTAATTATGAGTTTTTGAGAGTGAAACGCCTCATAAATAGTCAAAATTTAAAATAAATCATTACACAACCCATTTGGATCCCTCAATCATAGACCATTCTTTCAATAGCCAAGCACCTTTGATGATATTAAAATTAATGATTTTTAGACTTGTTGGATTGAAAATTGATTTAACTATAAACATGTGATATTTTGAGATCATCTGGTTCACCAATTAATATCCTCAAGCTTTTATATCGCACTTTGTGTGCTTGATTTTTGCCATTTAGACTTGGATCAAACACCTTTTAATGTTGTTAGGTTCGTATAATTAAGATATTCAATTTGACTATAAGTTTACTAAAATCAAAGTTCATATGTGTGGTGTGCTAGAAAGTTTGAGTAAATAGAGTGTATGTTTTATGTTTTAGCAGTGTACAAATATTTAACACAAACATATTCAAATAGTAAGACCAAATAACTTTTTACATAGAAAACTCTAAAAGGGACAAAACTATGGGGCCTAGCCCAGTTGAAAATTCTACTATATATTAAGTGATACAAAGATCTTCCATTCTGCATTGTTGAAGAAGAGAGAGTACAACAACAACAACATCAAGCCTTTATCCCACTACATGGGGTCGGCTACATGAATCCTTTTTCTCCATTGTGTCATATTAAAAGTCAAATTCTCATTTAAACCTAATAAAGAAAGGTCTTTCATAATATTTTTCTAACCAAGTCTTTTTAGGTCTACCCCTACCTTTCTTAACATAAGTCAAATCTAATACCTCTACTCTCCTAACCGGGTCATCGAAAGACCGCCGTTTTATGTGACCAAACCATCTAAGGCTACTCTCTCTAATCTTATCTTCTACTGGAGCTACTCCAACCTTTTCACGTATATGCTCATTTCGTATCCTATCTCTAAGGGTAAAGCCACTCATCTACCTGAGCATTCTCATCTCTGCCACACTTAACTTAGTATTATGCTTCTCTTTTAATGGCCAACATTCGGCACCATAAAGCATTGTAGGCCTCACTACCATCTTATATAATTTTCACAAAGATTAAATATTTACACCCAACAATAGGGCTTAATCTTCATCGAAGGAATTTTAGAAAGTAAGTGCTCACAAGTGGACAAAATGTACCTAACAACATGGTCAAAATATTGATAGTATTTTGGAGATGACAGTGGTTTTCAGTGGTAGTAACTGGCAATTATCGGCGGCAATAGCTGGTGATTGTCGGCAGCAATACCTAGTGGTTGTCAGCAGCGGTGATGACTAGAAAATGCTTAAAGAGCTTTTCCTTCTTCTCCCATGTGAAGAATGTGTCTATTAATAATTTTTTTTTTAGAATGACACGACTAGTAAATATGAAGAAGACCAAGGGTAAGTTGAGATTGTTCCAACCGACGACTGATGTCGACTCCATTGATCATGAATAATTTATTGAGCATTTAAGTACCTTAATGATGACAAAATTAAGCCTTCTTGAGCTCGTTAGATTCGTCTCATTGAGCCACTCGATCGATTTGACTATAAGCATGTTATATTCAGATATTATTCGTCTACTAAATTAATGCTTTTAAAATTCTAATTATTCTTTAGCTTCTTGATTCAAACTAATTTAGAATATGATTGGACCAATTTTGGTGTCATTGGGTTTGTCTTGTTGAGATGTTCAGCTTGACTATAAAGATACATATATCAAAGTTTGGATGGTCCCAAATTTAATTTTGAAAGTTTTCGGCTCAAATATTCCTTGAGATTAGTGCCTAATCAAGACCATTTTTGGTGACATATCAACATGATTTATTCAATTGAGACGGTCATCATTTGTTTTTCTTTACATAAAATTTATACATTATAATTTTAAGAGTTATAGATTCATAAAAATAAAAAATCATAAAAAACATTCAACATTTGTTTTTCTTGACATAAAATATATAATAAGTCATAAGAATACCAATAGTTAATTCTCATACCTAGAAACTTATTCTAAAATAAAAAGTAAAGCTATTTGAGCTTTTAAACTCATACAAAATTTATTTTTATCATCCAATTTAATTTTCTTTTATCTTTCTATCTCTCTTAAATTTATATTTTCATATATCTTATGTTCTTGTGATATAAAATCTCTTAATGATCATGTTATATAATTTTTATTAATATTTAATTTGCTATATTCTATTAATTTTTATATTTTTAATGTTTTAATTTAATATGTTAATATTAAATCACAGCCTTTTATACTTGTTATGTTTATATAATATATTTTAAATCATCCCATTGATGTTCATATATCTCTTTGCATAAAATTCACGTGTTAAAATTCTAAGAATTATAATTCAATTGATAAACTTGCATACATTTATGAAATATACAAAGAGTTATAAGAATAAAACTAGTTAATCAACATTTTTATTTGTGATCATTAGGTAATTTGTCATAACTCATTTAATATTGTATTATATCTAGAAATCTCTATGGATATTTCACTCACTATAAAAGAATCATTTTATAATTAAAATTCAAGTTTTTTAAGCTTTATAACTCTTCTTAAATTTATTTGTACATCCCATTTTAATTTTATTTTATCATTCTATTTGTCCAAAAATTTGACTTTCCAAATTTTTAATATTTTTCTGATATGAAATCTCATTGATGTTCATGTTATATATTTTTTATTAATATTAATTTGATTTTCTATAATATATTAAATTTTATTTTATTTATATTTTAATTTAATATCTTAATTTTAAATCCTATCCTTTTATTTTTATTATATTTATCTAATAATTTTCAAATAATTCCATTTATATACATAACTTTCTTTGGATAAAATTCATTAATTAAAATTGTAAGAGTTATAATTCAATGAACTATTCAATAGATGAATGAATGAACAATATGGATCAATTTTGATAATTTAATGAAATTTACATATTTATTTACATAAAACTCTTTATGATCACGTTTTAGAAATAATAGATGATCAATACATGATATTGCAATGCCAAAAGTTAAATGAAAATTATGTACCACAAAAAGATAAGTATAATAAAATTATGTATGTCGATTAATTAATTCATCTTTATCTTTTCATTTTGGAATTAAGTAAATAAAATAGTTTGCTTTCTTGTATATATATTTAATTTTAATTAACAGCAATCATGTAAAATTAATATATGTTCAATAAATTATAAAAATATCAAGAATGAAAATATGTGAATATGGTTGTTAATTACACCTTAAATTTCCTTTTAAAATAAATAATATTGTTTTAAATTTATAATAACATTATAATACTAATAATAATTTTACTTTAATAATGGTCTTATTTTTTTTTATAATTATGCCAATATATGCAATATATATATCATATAAGGTCAACAATAATATAATGTAATAACATTAATTTTTAAATTATTAACGTTATGAAAAATAAAATATAGTAAATTACTAAAACTCTATATGTAAAGAATATTATCATAAATATAAAACATTGCATAAAAATGAGATTATATATTATAGTTGTAAAATCTTGCTAGTCGACATAACTACAATTCATAGTAATTATATACACCTCAACTAATTTATCAATGAAAAAAAATTGTACATATTATAAATATCTGAATCTCATTATTATTAAATTTTATAATATGAGAGTTTGAGCATATTTGAAAAAATAATTAATTTTTTAGCAAATAGTATTTTACTCAATATATAAAACATTTATTTTTGAACTATTAAATATATTTTTAAGTTTTTCAATAAAATAATTATCATAGGAGATGATTATTAAAATTTTTAATATCATTAATATATTAATAATATATTTTACAAATTGATAGAAACATTATATATATATATACACTTTCTACTTTGATTTTAGAAGTAAAAAAAAAACAATAAAAATAATAAAATTCATAAAAAAAACAAAATATTTTATAGTTTTTATATTTTTATACTTTTTTTTAAATCATATAAATTGCATTTAGGCATAATATATTTATTATCAGTAAAATTAATAAAGATTTGTGGAATGTACTAATAAAAAAACTTTATTATTACACTTATAGACTTTAATTTTTACTTCAGGCATTTTGATAGGATTGCCTACTAATAAATTTTTTTTAATTAAAATATAATAATAATAATAATAAAATAATATATATATTAATTTGAATTTTAAAAAGGTTAAATATTATTAAAAAATAATAAATTAATTTGGAAGTATAAACTTGTGAGATAATTATATACAAGTAAAATTAAGTAAATAACTAAATAATATTTTCTTGTCCAAATTGAAATCGATTGAAATATTGTTATAATTATATCCAATAAAGCCAATAATAATTGATAACTTTTTTAAAAAAATATTTTTATTTAATTCAGGTTTAATTAAATAAAATTAGTTTTTTAAATTCACATCAAATCAAATTAATCACAATGACTAGATTTTACAAATATTTTAAATTTAATTAAATTGTAAATTTTAACTTTATTTTAGACTTTTTAAAAACAAATAATTTTTTTTTTCCAAGAAGCCGGGACAGATTTTTCAGTTTTTGCCGATCCTTCTAACCGACGGTTGTGATCTACTACCATCCGCACGATAGAGCGCAACATTAGACCCGTCTCCAGAGCGAGGGAATCGAGTTGCGGCGATGCTATAAATTTCCATGGACCTTGCTTCCCCAAGTTACGCAAAGCTCTTAACTTCCCGGCGAATAGCGTCGCATCGCTTCTGCTTCCTCTCAACGCAAGCTATTTTCTTCATCCCTTCGAAGAGAACACTAGGGTTTCCTTGTCTCGGTGTTCGTTGCCGTGCCGGAGTCTCAACCATGGTTGCGGAGCCTCGAACGGTGGTGAAGGATCGGATTGATCTCACAGAGAACGAGGGGACGATCTTCCGACGTTTGCTCGACGTGGTGGACCATTTCAAGCTGAATACGCAACTCAGAGTTGCTGGGGGCTGGGTCCGAGATAAGGTGGGGCTTCTAGTTTCACTGCTATCTTCACATTCTTTTCTTACTTCTCGTTCCTATTCTGATGCTGGTTTTTAGTCTAACTGGTGAGGCGAATTGTTTGAAATTTATTTCGACGGTAAGCTTGGAAAGCTTCTTCAGAGAGTGATGATTTTGTACAGGTTGGAACTTGGACTGCTAAGAAGCTAATGACCGGGGAAAATTGATTTTAAAAATTATGAATTATTTATAATTGTTTTTTTTTTAACAGTGGGACATGCCTTTTCCTAAGACTAGCATATGAGAACTATAATGCAAGTTAATAGATTACCTGGGAATTTGATGACTTTTGGTTTAGGCAAATTAATGGTGTTTCTTCTTAGTCTGATGCTACATTTATCCATTGAATTATTTGCTTATCCGCTTGATATTTATACTTTGGGAGAGATGCTTTGAGGAAGGTTTCCAGGGGATGAAACTTGAAACTGATTGGTGTTCTCCGTGAAGATGATTTTGATTAGACACACGACATCCATACCTCCCACATATTATGCATACTAGAATATTGGGAGAACCTATATTCACTGAGACTTGCTTGAAACAGTTTAAGGCTCTGTTTAGCATTGTATTGGTTTGGTTGATTAGAATGTCCTACAAATTTGAATGTTTTCGCTTGTAGTATCACAAGAAATTGCTTACACTCTTGTGAATGTTTGCTCCTTTTTCCATTGTCATTATAAATTATTTACGGATATCTATGTCGTGGATTTTTGGGTATTTATAAGCATTATGGTATTACACTTAGATTCATTTTTTAGTTTGTTTTTTCTTTGTTTTCTTGATATCAAAGCATTTCCTTTTAATTGACAGAAGATCGGGGAACCCATTCAAATCTCCTGCCAACGCCTAGTTATTCCAAAAATTAGACCTTCCTCTGCCTTTTACCACTTCATTCGCACAATTTCTTAGAGCTGTGAGAGGCTTATGTTTTGCTTGAGAAAGACAAATTTAAATCTGTTTTTTGAGATCATAATACATCCTCTAGAATGAAAAAATAAACTAAGAAAAATCAACTATTATAATTCCTTGAATTCTTATTCATTCTCTCCCACAAATTAAACTTTATTCTTTTTATTTTTGAATGGAGCTGGATGGTTCGGGGCTCTACCTCCATATCCTAACTTTTTAGAGTTGGGAGAGGCTAATTTTTTTCTCAAGTGAGGTAACTTGACTTGGGCTCCTTCCCACGTAATTCATGAGAAACATTTAGTCTCATTATCATCGTTAGTCTTATCCCAAATATTTGAGGTTAGCATCACAAAATGTTTATTTTTCATTCATTTATATTGAGGGCTATTCAAAATATTAAAACTATTCTTCAGAAATCATTTTGAACAAATTCTATCATTGTATTTTTAGGATTTTTCTACTTATTTCCTTGACGTTAATTTTATGATATCATCTAGCAGGCACATTTGGTCTTAGATTCATTTAGTTGAGAGTGAAAAGCCCTTTTGGGAATTTGAGATTTGGCACTAAAAAGGTGATGCTCATGTCTACAGAAAGGTGATTTGATGTGGTCTTGTAGTTTACCTTGAACAAAAGTCAAGCTACAATACTTAAATATTTTAAGACTTAAAGCTTGGGTTTCTTTTTGCTCTTACCATGAATGAAAGATCCCTGCTAAATTGTAGTATCTTTGTAATATATTTTATGCTTTCATCGTTAATTTATTTTTCTCAATCTATATTACTATTAAAAGGTCTTAGCATTCAACCAAGAGTAACTTCAAGTTATTCATTTGTTTTTTATCAAAAAAAGGAACCCAAGCAATTAATTTAAAAAATAGAATATTATAAGTTAATATTATTCTGATAAAGAAGATGCACCAACATGTTTAATGTCTTCATATTTATTAATTTTGTGCATGGGAGCATGAATTGTCATCTTTCTTGAGAAAAAAGGGCATTCTCGTATATTCACTATATTTATGATTCCTAATATTGAAAATACATGAACTGTCATCCTGATTAGTACTTGCAAACAGCTAAAATGGTTTGCTTATAGCGTTGAAATAAAATTTTAATAATATATCAAATAATAAATACATTAATAGTATGATCATATTCTTTTTGGCTTAAATAAAGCCAAAAAAGTACTATCGGTAAGATTTAAGGCATGTATATCACTATAGTATTTAAAATATGATATTTTAAAAAAAAATTATTGGCGGACAAACTACCTTTCTAATTATTAGATTTACTATAATTGTTGTCATTGAAGAATGCTGAACTTATATTTTATTATTCACTTGATAGTTTACTAGGATGAATACAACCAAACTTTGCGCACTATCATTACTTTAGTTAAAGGACAAAACATTGTCAACTCTTCAGTCATGCGTTGCCAGAAACAATTGCTCACATATACAGTCCAGGATCTTTCAAGAGTCTTATATCAGAAACTAGTGATGGAAGTGTCGTTTGGGAGTCCTGGGTAAAATTAGAAGGGCATTTATTGTTCAGTAAATCTGCAGTTCTTTAGTCTCAAAATGTTCATCTTTTTTGTCTTCATTGTCATTAGCATTATGATTTTCACATTAGTATTTATCATCATTATATTGACTTCATCCCCACCCTTCTCCTAGTTTTATTATCATTGTTGTTACTACTATGTGTGCTGCTTCGTTTGCCCGTTTACCTTTGTATTCTATCTTAAGAAGACATTAGTTCCAATAAACTTGGACGAAGTTGTTATGGTTTTCTCCTTTTTTTTTCCCTTAATTTGTTCCACATCTTTGGATGTAATGATCATACAATTTCAGCTTTTGGGAAAAGATTGTTATGATATTGATATAGCGTTGGACAACATGTTGGGTCGAGAATTTTGTGAAAAGGTCAATGAATATTTGCACTCCGCTGGTGAAGAACAGCAAGGAATTGGTGTTATCCAATGGTATGTGAAATTTTTAATCAGTCCTTGCAATCCAAATTTTGATATGTGAATGATTAATCAAGGTACTTACGACAAAATGTTTGAAAATGATTAAAAGGCATTTACTTTCATTCATTAATTCCTCAGTTATGATTTTTGGGTGGACTAAAGTTTGTGGTTTCTCATGTGAGGCACTCATTAATTGATACCCATTAAATTTATAGCTTTTTGTAGCTTGTCTTCCATAGCTCGTCATGCGTTATAAATATTGCTGATGATGATGATATTTTGTTTTAATAAAGTTCAAGCTCCCAAAACTTTACATCTATTCTACAAATAGTAGTTTTAATTTGGATGTCTTTTTCTTAACGGAAGTTGCAATTAATCTGCCCTGTACTGCCAATTTGATGAATATGCTTCATAGCTGTCTATACTGTAGCCAAACATGTTCCAGGTTCTTCTCATTTCATGATTATTTACTGGATTTGTTATTTACAAATTTCATCCTTTTTGATATATATCCTGGAAATTGGTTTTCTATAAAGTATTTAGTACAAAAGTTTTTCCTCACAAAATCAAAAGGAATTCCTTATAGGCTGAAGACAACTCGGGTAGTTTGGCTTCAGTGACGCTGCATGCTTGTTTGTGTATCCACTACCAGCATTAATTCTTTCATCACAGTATTGTTTGTGATTCCATAACCTGTAGTTTTATTCTTTCCTACCACCTTTGAAAACTATACCATATCTCAAGAACCATAGATAAATTGTCTTATTCACTGGCCTTGAATTAATTTATTTTGTAGAGATTAGCTTGGTTACCAAGATTTTCTCATTGTCATGTCGTACTTAGCTTAACTCTTATAAGAACAATAAGATCACAACATAGTAATATTGAGGTGCTTTGCTTACTATTGCACTAAGATAATAATAATCTATTATTGTGAGAACATTTACATGTTTATTTGGAATCGCTTCTTAGGGGAACTTGCTTTTATGGCAGACTTCCATGATATTCTGGGAATGCTTTTGTCCTCTTATCTTTGCCTTTGTTTTTCTATTATTTATGCATAACTTGAGTTCAATCTTGCACTTAATGGATAGCCTTCTCAATCAATAAGCCTTGCTATTTTAATAGTTTGATATTCCTTAATCATTTATTGGCAACATGACTCTCTCAACGTGTTGCAGCAATCCAGATCAATCTAAACACCTGGAAACTGCTAGGATGCGCATATGCAGTACGTGGGTCGATTTTGTTAACTTGAGATCTGAATCTTATGCTGAGAATAGCCGTATCCCTAAAATGGTATATACACTGTCACATAACAACTGAGGTTTCTACCTGAGTTAGCTCTGTTGTCTCTTGGAGAGTTTATATCAAACTGTCGTTTGCTTTGCAGAAGTTTGGAACTGCCAAAGAAGATGCTTACCGTAGGGATCTGACTATCAATAGGTAGTGTATCGAGTACTTTGTGTGGTTCTTTTTTTTATTCTTCACAACTATGCATAAAAGCAGGAACCAAGAGAATATGATGCAGAATGCGTTAAGCCTAACAAACAATACACTTGTGTTTTTTCTTCGCTATTTATTGCTATCCTAAATTTGATATGCTCTCGTTTTCCAATCAAATTTTTATTGCTTAAATTAAGCACACCAAACCTTAGTCTATATTTATGTTAAATTAGTGATTGCCTACCTTTCTGCATTGATGTATCTTGATGAAGTGGTATTTTGAATAACATAACATTCAACTATAAAATTTTAATTTGAGAATTTGCAATAACAAGAAAGAAAACTAAAATTATTTCCGGAAATGTATGTTGTGATCCAGCTCTCTTATGAAAGCATCAGAATACTTCTAATACCCCTTTTTTGACTACCACAAACAGCTTTCTGACAGGATCTTCCATGCTAAGTTGAATGAAAAGAACCATACATAAGCTCCTATGGGAAATTATTATCTGGCACAATCCGAACTTCATTTATTTGTTGTGAGTTTAACTTTGCCTAACATAATAATTTGATAGATGGACTTGTAACCGGACAGTTGAAACTTTTTTGTACAATTGCAAATTTTTTCGCACTCAAGAAAAAACTTTTCAGTTTTTATTATGTGCTCAATGATTGTCATTTTATTGATTTTCTGCTCAAGAACTAATGGTTAACCTTCTTTATGTTCCTTGCTCACTGCTTGGTCGTTCCTTCAGATCACATTTATTCTATGAATTGGTGATACATTAAAAATAATTCACCTCTCGAGGACTGTCATAGCGTAGAACCTCTGCTTTTAATTTCTCTTCAGATGCTCTTTTGTAGACATCAAATTGGGAGAAAAAGCAAGAAATGCAACCGCACATACTCGGATTTAACTATCATCATGCTTGCTACCTAATCAAATATTTCATGAAGTTTTATTACCAGGATTAGTTTAGTCAATTCAGCTCTAGTTTGGCTGTCTATTGTCTTCTTTGATTGTATATCTGCATTACACTAACAATATTTTTTTATTCAGTTTATTCTACAATATTAACACCACTTCAGTGGAAGATTTAACTGGAAGGGGTCAGTATTTCTTAAAATTTTAGCTGTCGCTTGATTATTGCATTATTGCAATTGCTTCTCTTGCTCTGCTTTGTCTTACTAATATTCTATTCAGGCGTTCAGGATCTGAAGGATGGATATATTGTTACTCCCTTACCTCCAAAAGAAACTTTCTTGGATGACCCCCTTCGTGTTCTACGAGCAATTCGTTTTGGTAAACGTGATTTCCTCTGAAAAATTTCTTTATCGGATACAAATTATTTGGTCATGCACTTTTTTTTGTCCATACATTTCTGAAAGGTATTAGGCTGATTCTGATGGACATTTTTTCTTCTCTTATTAAATGAGCTACGATATAGTAGTAGTTTGACTTTGTACGGGACCGAACCACTTTTTCTGGGTTTTTAGTGGAGCTGGGCTTTATATACTGATTTATGTAGAGTAAAAGCCCAAAATAGTCCCCCGACTATTAGTAAATATTCAATTTAGTCCCAAACTTTCATAATGACCCAATTTAACCCCCCAACTCTTAGAAAATATCCCAATTTGATCCGAAGGCCAAAAGTATTATTTAAAATTAATCCCAATAATTAAATGTGAGGGTATGCTGGGTATTATGGTGTATGCGAGATTATATAATTTTTTTTTATCATTTTTATTATTTATCATATAAAAAAAATTAAGTTAGTCTCATATATACCATAATATCTAAAATGCCCTCACATTTAACTTTGGGTTTAATTTTAACGGTTACTTTTGGCATTGGGATCAAATTAAGAAATTTTCTAATAGTCGGGGGACTAAATTGGGGCATTGTGAAATTCTTAGACTAAATTGGAAGTTATTAATAGTCGGGGGATTATTTTGAGCTTTTACTTGACTTCTGTACCTTAGATTGACTTGGCATATTGGAGTTTATTAAAATTAAGAGATGCAGGTCACAAAGCCACAAACACTGGAGATTTCTAGCATTTTCTAGTTAGCATATTGCCATTTCATCTTCATAGTGCTATGGTTTCCTCTGTATGGAAAAAATATTTTGTTGACTTGTCTACCTGAATTTAGGTGGGCACATCTGGACCATCTAGTTAGTGGACCACAATTCAAATATGCATGGCAATACAATATTAATATATTATGTTATCTGTGAATCCTTAATAGAACTTAAAATATGGTTTGTTAAAGTGCTTATTTTAATGAATGTTTTAGCTTATCATTTATGGTAAATGGTTAACCATCCTCCCTAATGTCAAGCTTTATTTTTCTCTTTTGTTGTTGATCACTGCAACAGGTGCTAGGTTTAATTTTAAATTGAATGAAGACTTAAAAGAGGCCGCTTCCGATGATGAAGTTAGAGATGCTCTCATGTGCAAAATTAGCAGAGAACGCATCGGTCATGAAGTATTTCACTTTTACTTATATAAAAAACAGTAATTTTTTATAGATTTAATGTTATGTTGCCAGCAAAGAAATTGTATTCCTTGACACACAATGCAGTTACTGGCTTAAGTTCAATGTTTTGTCCAATTTAATAACCTGGTTAATAAAGCTGTTAAAGTAATGTTTGATTGTTTTCTCCCTATATGTTGATTTTGTACAGATTGATCTGATGATTTCTGGAAACCAACCTGTGAGAGCAATGTTTTATATTTGTGATTTGCAATTGTTCTATGCAGTCTTCACATTGCCGGAGAACGCACAACCTGAGATTGTTGAAGGTTGTAACAGGTCTGTTTTATTTATTTTTTCTCAATAGAATTAAAGATGTTATTTATCACCAACTTTTCCTTGATCTCAAAGATGGAGCCAGGCGTTTTGCGGGACTTTATTTTTTGGTTACGTAGTTGAGATTGTCTTGCTGCATGCTCTCCTTGATTTAGTAACTTTGATAGTAGTACAGTGAAATTATTCCAAACCTTAAACTAATTGGCAAACGATGATTTTATTGTCAATATAATAATGAAATTTAACTGTTTCTCCATCTTCTGTTTTTAATTAACTTTAGTACTCCTTATTTTTCATTGTATACTTATTGCAAACTCCTACTTTTTCTTCACCTATGAACAGACTTTGTGTTTCACATATAGATGCAGCATGGAATGTACTTCAACTAGTTGGCTGTTCAACATTCAGCGTAAGTTCATCGTTCCTGAGTTTAATTTTCTTTTCTTTATTGATCGAACAGGATGTTTAACTTCATACAAGGGATATGATACCTTTAAATTTATTGAATGTATTTCACAATGTTTTGAAACAATTCAAATATGTTGGTCTTGTTATTGAGTAGGGGTGTCAACTTATGACCCGACCTGAAAAATCCGATTTCGGGTTGACCCGTTTAACAAACGGGTCGGGTTCGAGTTCTAGTTTCTGACATGTTTGAAAATTTGGGTCTGGTTCGGTTCAATCCGCCAACCCGAAAATGACTCGCATGACTGCCCGCTTGACCGCACCAAATTCAGATTTTAGCCCGCGTCATCGCACCGCATCCGCTTCTGCCTGTGGCTTGCGTGTGCTCCCCCCACTTGATCGCGTCCAATCCTGCCCGCAGCCCACGTTTGCTCCCACCCACATTATCACACTCAAGGATCTATATTGAAAGAATTACATTTGTCTTTCATGTCGAACTTAACATATCATAAAATTTATGCATGTAATTGTAAGAAAGAGCCACTGAATTAAAAAAAAGGGACATTTTCTTTCATTAATAACACAAATAAAAGTCCATTACAAAAATAGACGTCCCCCTATCACATGTTGTCCTACGGGTCAATTAATTACAAAACATCAAAATGACCAAAAAGAACCCGTCACCCGGCATCTCCCTACGATGGTAGGTAAACGACTAGTCATCACTGATTAGCCGGTTCTCCTAATAATTGTCCCACAACTGGGGTGAGCCAACGCTCAGAAGTTAATATGTTATGCTATTAAATTTAGAAAACAAGATAAAGATACACAATATGCGTGTAATTTTCCTTGTATAATGCATTGATGCTTAGAGAAAAGAAATAATAAACATGTCATGCAGATATATTTGATATGCCTAAGTTTGCATGTTAGCTTAGATGTGACCATTTTTCTTTTCATTATTCTGTAACATTCGTTTATATTATTCCTGTTGTCTTTCATACTCTATATGTAGTATGAATATACATATACTCTTTTTATACATTCGTAACGGAGTATCATATTTGTACTGATCATGTATACATTCAATTGGTCATTTCTTTCATTTTTTATTATTTGATCCGAAGAGCCCTTTACCATTTGCTCCGAAGAGCCCTTTATCATTTGCTCCGAAGAGCCCTTTATTATTTGCTCCGAAGAGCCCTTTATCATTTGCTCCAAAGAGCCCTTTATCATTTGCTCCGAAGAGCCCTTTACCATTTGGATACTCCGCACCAATATTCACATTCAATTCATACAATATTTATCGTAGGGGAATGTTAACACTTCATTCAAATATATGTTTCTACTTAATGTAGTGTTCATGCATTCTATATTAAGACAATTTAAAAGAAATGAATATGTAATATAAACTATCCACATGATATCAAAGTATATTGCATTTAGAGCATTCTAAACTATCCACATGATATCAAAGTGCATTGTATTTAAAACATGCTAAGCTATGCATATGATATCAAATTACATTGTATTTAAAATATGCTAAGCTATCCATATGATGTTAAATTGCATTGTATTTAAAGCATGCTAAAATTCGGAGAAAAAGAAATATCTGAAATTAAAATAATCACATTTATCGACCTATTGGACGTGCACAAATTGGCGTTTAGCCTTTAGGCGCCTTTCCTTTCCCTCTTCCAAAATCTAAAAGAAAATAACCTTAATTCTATCATTAACAACCTTAATTCATTTTTATTACATGAGTAATGCCATTAACATTAACCTTATTTCAAATTCATTTTCATTTTATAATGCCATCAACATTCCTCTTAATTCATTTTCATTAATTGTCTTTAATATTAACCTTAATTATTAATTGTTTAACATTAATCCTTAATTCATTTTCATTAATTGTTTTGTCATTATAATGTAATTATTTTTGGATTTAAAGAAATCCTATATTTTTAAAATCGAAATATTGTCTAAATTCAAAATTTTCATATTTTAACACTTTACAATTTCCTAAATTAAATTAAAATAATTTCTATTTTCGGTTTTGCTTTAAAACCATAATTTTAAAAATCAAATTTTTATTAATTTCCTCATATTAGCATGCCAAAATCTTCCTATCACTTAATTAATAATTATGGCTTAAGCATTTTTGGATTATTTTAAATTAAAAATTAAGAAAATAGAAAATTTGTGAAAAATCCAAATTTTCACCATAAAAAATTTTCATAAACCATTAGGAATACCATTTGTGAAAGCAATTTAAAAAATTTAAGTTTTGGAAAAAGCCATAATTTTGAAAATCTCAAAATTTTGGAAGAAACATTACATTTTGTGTTTAGAACTTACCATTACATCTCCCCAAATGTCCCTAAATGTTTTTCTTTTAAAATCTTTATGCTTTGGAGAAACCCTAGATTTTTTTTTTTAATTTTTTTTCATGAAAAATCTAAGTAAAAAGAAAGGATTCTAGGGTTAGAAACATACCTGAAGCTTTTCTAAAACTTTCCCTTCAATTTCTCCCAAACCTAGCCACCGGAAACCGCCCACCCGAGCTTTGCCCGCCGCCCTTTCTCCCTCTCTCGCATTTGGTTGAACGAACGAATGAAGGGACCGAAAAATTCGGTCACTTATGAGGCTATTTGGGCGGTGGGGGTTTGCCAAATTACGCATTTGCCCTTACATGTATAAGTCCTCTTAAGGGTTAGGAAGGGTTATTTAGTCTTTTGCACTTAAATATTCTTCGATGATTTTTAGTTTTAAATTAGTGCAAAATTAACCCTAAGTTCTTTATATCAAATCGATTGAAATTTCATGCATAATTTTATAAAATTTATTTCATCACATTTTGAGAACTTCGAAAATTTGTCTATTTTCATCTCGGTGCGTCGCAATGCGTCGCGACGCAACGATTCAACATTTTCGGGTTTTACACCTTTATAGTCTGATTTGAAGTAAATCTCACCATTGAGTTCAAGGAGACCTCTGCCATGTTTAGATGCAGCTCTTCCTCCCTCTACTACCACCTCCATATTCTCTCCCTCCTTAGCTTCCTCATCATCACAGACAGTGAGAACTTGATGAGTTTGATCCTTACACCTATGCCCTGGGTATACCTCTCACAGTCCCTTCGCATTTTCCTCATGTACCTCCTTTTCAGCGAGCTTTCTGAAATTTCCCCCTCCTACGGGCTTCTCCTTTAGGGCCTCTCGAAAACTAGCCCTTTTAATGTTAGAAGCGTGGTGGTTATCGAGTACGAGCTTCCTGAGCTAATGCCCTTGGCCCCCATCTCCAGGTGCCTCTAATCCTCCACCAACTGTGCTAACTCCATAGTCTCTCCCAGGGCACGAGGCCTCATCACTCTCATTGTTGCCCGTAAATTTGGTTTGAGTCCTTTCATGAAGTTCCCCTCCTACAGAGTCTCAGATAGCTGATCCAATCGACTCGCTAGGTACTCAAATCTCTTGCGGTATTCTGCCACTGAGCCTTCCTGGGTTAGTGCAAAGAACTGCTCATAGAAGTCCTCCGCTACTGGTTCGGAAATGTTCCTCTAAGCACTCTTTGAACTCCCTCCAACTCTGTATGGACCGCCTCATGTTCTCCACTGGCACCACGTCAATGCCTTCCTTTCCAAACATAGGTCGGCTTTCTTCAATCTCTCATCCTCTGTCATTTCAGTGATGGTGAAATATCTCTCTACCTTGTAAATTCACATGTGTGCATCCTCCCCCTCAAAGATGGACATCTCAGCTTTCTTACCTTTGGATCTCCTCCATTCCCCTAATTCCTTCGTAATTTCCCCTTCCCCCAGCGAATGGTTCCCCCAAGTATCCCGATCCTCCCTTCAACCCAAGTATCCCGATCGTCCCTTCCACATTCGTACTCAAACCCTTCCTCAAGTTCCCCCCATCTTCCTTCAAAATTAGCACCAATGTGGTCGTAATTAGCCTCTCTTCTTCCAAAATCAGCACCCCTTCGCTCATACCCCACATATTCATTCCTCTCCCCATACCTTCCACCCATCTCCTCCCTAGGAATAGGCTCTTGAAGAGTTCTTCTTTCTTCTCCCTCCAAGATCTCCACATCGTGATCATCTCTACGACTACCGAAATTGGTATTCCTTCCTACCGGCGCTTTTGCCTTCGATGTCGCCTTTTGGTTGTGAAGATCCATCACCTTCTTCACCATCTCTTCTAGGTTAGAGAAATTATCCTCCATGGACGAAATTCTGTCCTCCACTGTTGCTTTGATTTGATTCATCTCTCCTCCAAGTCATTCTTCCAAGGCATCAACCTTCTTGGCCGCCATCAGTATCCAGATCTTTGGCCAACAATAGAAACAGTAAAAATTTTTGTCTTCAAACAGCAGAAATCTGCCCTTTTGGGGGAAAAATTCTGCCGATTTCAGCTAGGAAAGGCTTCGTTTTTATGCCCAAGGCACAGCTCTAATGCTAATTTGATAGGAAATACTTGTAGAATTCAAGAGAAACGGATGAAATAGAGAAGAAAATAACAAGATACAATTGATCCTTAATTCGAATGGAGGATCTATCTCTCCCAATTCTCTAGATGCCGCTAGAGCTAGAACCCAAGCAACCCTGAGCACCAAAATAGAATTCATCCAATAACAAGATAACCCTAACCCTAATCCTTATTCCCTCATATATTTTAAAGCATACAAATATAATCCCAATTACTAAACAAACTCTCTCTCTAAATCAAAACCTACCTAAACCACCCCCTCCTCTTCAAGTAATGGACCCCACAAGAGGGCCGGTGGCTTGCTTTGCCCATCTTGAGTAAACCATCCCCTGGGCTGGTTTAGCCGGCCCTCCTTGGCCGGTCCAGGTCTAATACTATCAGAATCAGATTCTATGGCATGCATGTGTCGATAATATGAACGGTTCTGAAAACTAAATATTAGACTTTTAAGCTATCAGGGTTCTCTGACATTTTTTAGTATTTTATTTTTCAGTCTTTTTACCTTTTATGGGTCAGCTAATACAGTCTTTTAGGGGTAGTGAAAATTCCAAGGCCCTGGTTTTATATCCTTCTAACTTTGGGCAATGTTTTGAGTCATGCTAGCTTATTATTAGCTATGTTTTTGTAAAATGCCCGTAAATGGCTTTCAATCTCTTGATTGGAATTCCTTTTGAGTTCTCACTTATTTGCCGTGCTGAATGTTCTTCATTTTAACTTTCAAGTTTCAACTACCTTTCAAAATCCCAGGACGAACAGAGAAGGCTTTATTTGTATGGGGCACTTTTTCTTCCTTTGAGGAATACAGCGTACACAGACACTAAGCCAAAAAAGGTTCTAACTTTTTCTTTTATGCATAATGAGTTTCTTCATTTTTTCGCCTTATATTATGTAATCACGGTTGTTAAATTTGTAGCATTTGCCTTAAATGTAAAGTTCTTCAAAATAAGAGCTTATCATTTGTCACTAATTTTGATGAGGTTAGCATGTGTTACTTTCAAAAATAAATATGAACACAGCATTTTTGTGCTATTTGAGATTATTAAGTTGGGTCTTCTATCATGACTTCATGTTTCTACAGTCCAGGGTTTCACATTGGCTGTGTCATTTTCGTTTGTCACTTTTTTTATCCCATATTTTGGAATGTAATGCTTCTTTAGCTGTATTCAAAGCGTCTGTTAAATTCAAAGAATCGGAAAGGAAAAAGTTTTTTTTTTTAATTATTATACAAAACTAACCCTATTTATAGATCTATACATGATTTCTTAATAAAGAAACAAATAATTTCAAAATAATGCATATAATCCTTCCTAAATCAGCCACCCGAATGTGGAAGGAGATTGTCGTGATCCAAGTGAGCCTCCCACGTATCCCCATCCTAGCCATATGATCAAGAGCCAAGGGACGGCTAGGAGGGCTGAGATGGTGTTTGACACTCTCCCTTAGTTGGGGAATACACATATGTCATTCCCAGCTTGATAATCAGTCCTATAAAGGTAGTGTTATCAAGTCCCTTGGTGCACCATAGAGTCTTCCATTTGGTCAAAACTTTCAGAGGAATTAGCATCAAACGTTGCGGTAGCAAATGATAGCAATGAAGGCTGCGTTGAACAGTATCCCTCAAGATACCGGAAATGACAATAAAGGCCGATGGTGGGATTGCAGGGAAAGTAGATTAATTATCCTTTGGGTCTGTCTCCCTCTCGATTATCAAGGGAAGACCAACAATGAAAGATACGACAGTAGAAAAAAAAAATTTTAGGGTTGCATCAAGCTTCAGGGACAATAATAGAAAACTATGTCTCAAGTGGCTCGACACTCGACACTCAGATCTCCTCCTTCCCAGGCCATATGATCGAGCCAGCCTTCTCCCAAATACAAATTAGTCATCCGACTCCACCCAAACAGACTTCTGTTCGATCGACCCTGTATAGTTTCATGCAAGGCCTCTGATCCCTCTAGCCTTATTGCAGGAGGTCCTGCGCTAGTCTTTTCTCGCTTATGTTCTGTCGACTCTGGATGTCACACACTGAACGAAGACCAAGCTTGATGCCGCCGTGCCCAAGAGGCCCTGGTTGCTGTCCAGACGCACAATTTCTCATCCTGTGCAGTCGCATGCATGTGAGAGGAGGCTTTCACTCAGTTTTGCCCCAAACACATGCAAGAGGGGGCCCTCCTGCTCGATCTCTTCTTAGCCTTGGATGCACGAAGGAAGTAGAAGGACCTATTATCCTCATAATTCCAGCAATGAAGGCCGGTGGTGAAAAACTGCATTCCTTAGAATTTTGACAATGAAGGCCAGTGGTGGGAACCTGTGTCGGCGTGCATGCTAACAGGATTTGATGCAGATGTGGAGAACGCGATAAATCTCGGGGGCCAGAGGAACGAGACAAAAGCTGTCCAGATGCACGTTGGTCAAGACACATGGTCTCTCGTTCTGTGCAGTCTCATGATCTCTCATCTAGACACTAGCTCTTGCTTGGCTCCTCTCGGTTCTCCCAAAGACGCACGTGAGAGAAGGCTACTGTGTGCGACAAGCTTCGAGGACACACGATGTCGCTTGTTTCCGCCCCAAACACAATCGTAGAATCATCTTGCCACACGCCTCTCTTGTCTCGCTCGGTCGCACGCACGCACAGGGTTCATGAGACATTTGTCTCTCCCGATTGAATGTAGAGACCGCGGGATGGAGCACTCTCCCTCCTCTTGGTTGGACGCACGCATGAACGAACAAGCCGGGAACCTGCTGGCCTTTCCTTCAAAAAGTTCGGTAGTAAAAAAAAAAAACTCAAAATTTCGGCCAAGCCAATGAAGGCTTTGGTACCACATGTTAAATTTGTAGAAGTGGAGAGGAAAAAGTTTTTTTTTTTATTATACAAAACTATCCGTATTTATAAATATATACAAGATATCTTAATAAAGAACAAATAATTATAAAATAATGCATAATTGCCCTAATATAATCCTTCCTAAATTAGCCACCCGAATATGAAAGGAGATCGGCGTGATCCAGGTTAGCCTCCCATGGATCTCCATCTTGGCCATAGGACCAAGAGCCAAGGGACGGCTAGAATGGTTGGGACGGTATTTGATAGTGTCCTCAATGGTTTGAGCAGATTCAACTATGTTCAAGTTCCATTGACCACTTTTAGGACCTATACCACTGTACGACAGTGTCTCCTTCAGAAAAGCATATTGGATGCTATTCAACATCTCTCAAATATAAGTAACAGATATTTTTCCCTCAAGAGTACAGCAGAATATCAGCCATAACTCTAGATATGCTGTATAAAAGTTATTTACATGCTAGTGATGCAGGCTGAATGGCATCTACATTTTTTGACGACGACAACAATAACATCAAGCCTTTATCCCATTATGTGGGTCGGGTATATGAATATTTTTTCTATGTTGTGTCATATTAAAAGTTAAATTCTCATTTAAATCTAATTAAAAAAGGTCGTTTCTAATATTTTCTAACCAAGATCTACATTTTTTTAATGAAGCCTTAAATCTTTGGCAATAATTTCTGTGGTAATCTCAAAAGAGCATTTCATTAGGCTGATCAGTATTCTACATCGCCACCGTAAAATTTTTCTTTGCATGAACAAAAAACATTTTAATCTGTTGAAAGATATATTTACGTGAATGCGTTTCCTTAGGAACTCCAGAAGATTAGTCTATACCAGATTCTAAATTTTCTGATAAAATAATCTTAAAAATTATGGTCATTGTCTTTATTACTTTTATTAAGTCTTCAAATATTACAAAAGATGCGGCACTATACCCCATAAGTTCTGATTTTGAAAACATTTGATGCCATGCTACCTTTAGGGAATCCTAGCTTGACGTCACATTTGACTTCTTTTTTAAGATTTTTCAGGTGAGAAATATCCAGACTAACATGTGGATGAACCATCCCACGGAGAATATGAATGACAACCATTCGTTCCCATTCCTGCACTACAGTTTTATTCACATCAGTCTTGCTGTAGACACCAGTTAATGGGTTTATTGGCCTAAATTTCATGGCTTCATAGTCTACTAGGGGAATAGGGGAAGCGTCTTCGTTTATGCTTGTTTGAGCATCATTGTGGGGTCCAAATATTCGTGCCTGGCTCCACTGAGAGGGTTTAGGTTCATAGAAAATTTTTTAGAAGGCTAATTAGATTGTAGATAAGACATTATAAGAGATTTCACTCTCATTTTGTGAGGACTTTATGATTTAGTTCCAAGTTTTTCGTGGGTGCAAACTCCTATGGTTTATTATCTCTCTTAATGACAAGAGAGAACTTTCGAAAATGCTAGTTGTTAGGTGCTAAATGCTTAGCATACAGTTCAACAATTTGATTTTAGGATTGAAGGAAACTAATCTATGTTAGCTAAAGGCAGATGATGGGGCGAATAATGATGAATTTGATTAAGATCCTATAGTTCCGTTGGTCTAGATTGTCACAATCTTTGGAGTAGTTAATCAGAGGTAGTCGACCTAACATAACTGAAGGATCTTTGTTGATAATTATAGGTTACGTCATTCAAGGAGAACATATAGACTTAGGCTGAATATTTATCTAAGAGGATAAATTTAAGTTGACCTTAGTTAAGTTGACTTTGTACTCTATCAAGTGCATCATATGATTCACAAATTGGGGGGCCTCGAGCTATTGAGGCACATTCAGGTTATGGCTATGATCATAATTTAATAGTGCCATATTGCGGAAAAATCATCCGACAAAGGGATTCGGTCATAATCGTTATTTAGTTATGCCATTTCTGATAAAAGGATATATGTCATGTTCTTACTGACGATAGATCTTTTGAGCATGATTATAAAAATACACTCGATAAGATATTAACTCTTTTATTATAGGTTAATCTTAAAATTTTCATCCCATCAAATTGTTGTGGATGATTATTGCTTTAAGCTTAGGGTGATAGATTTTGCTTTTGCATTTATATATTTTTGTAATTTTTATCTATTTTTGAGATTAAAGCTTGAAATGATTTCTATTGGGATTTAGGTGCATCTTGAAAATAAAATCCAACTTCAGTTGAGATTCACTGTTAACATAGCCATCATCAGGATTGGAATGTCTTTATTTTGTTACTTCTAACCTTATCAACTCTGCTAATTTTGCTCACAAAGGATTTGTTCTGTAGTATGTGTATGATTTGAATTTTTTTAACAATTATTATATCACAAACCTTCTTGATTCTACCTGATATGTTGAGGATTGAGTATGTGATTAACACTTGAGGTTGCATTTTTTAACACAATATCATGAGCTTATATTTTTGGAAATATAGATTTACTTTCTTATGGGTTTTGAAGGCTTTATGTAAACGTAAGACAAACTATTATTGTATCATGATCGGATATTTGGTTGTAAATTTACTTGATTAGAAAATCCTTTTTCACTTGACATTGCATCAATTTATCAAGGATAAGGACTTGTCAACTCCAGTCTAGGGGACACGGAGGATCAAACTTTAAAAATGTGGGACTTACAAATCTGCCTTATAGGTAGAATAGCTTGGTAAGGAGCGCGGTGCTATAATGAATATAATTTTTAAAAGAGAGTTTCAAAAAATGTTCAAAGTAATTGCATACTTCTTAAAAAAAAAAGTAGTTGCATGATTCTCGTAGTGGAGTAAATTTGAGTTCAACTTATATTTAGGTAGCTCAATATTCTCAGACTTTTAATTCAAGTATTTAGCATGTTTTTTTGGAGCATATGCATAAGACTTAATTGTCAATTTGATTATTACTTTGGGTGGCATGCATGTCTTTCAGTGCATTTGCGCAGCACAATTATATATTTTATGATGCATTTGCACACTTTTTTGGAGTAGTTGCACACTTCTTGAGGAAAGAGAATTTTAGTTCAACTTGTCTTAGGCCACACATCATTTTTAGACATTAAGTTTGCACGTTTATTAAACATCTATGATTTGACTCATCATGCACTAGCACAAGGTTTAAAATTGCGTAAATAAGCCTCGAGGCGGTTTTCGTTCGTGAGGCGAGGCGTAAGCCTCGAGGCGGTCTGAGGCGTAAGCCTCACGGACACAGATTTGCGTAAATGAAAAATTAAGGATTTTAGCAGGAAAATAATAGCAATATTGTACCTTACAATAAAAACACTAAATGATATA